CATCCGCTGGATGCCATTCTTATTTCCACTTACTCGCAGTAGTATCATGGCGGAGGAAAAGCAAACGGAACTTGGAAAATGAGAAGGCATCGAGATTCGTGTTTTGAAGCTTGTATCTAGCTGTTGTAAACAGTACCAGTCAAGAATAGAATTTGGAGAAGCAAGTGAAGCCAGGCGAAGGCCTCCGAAATAAACAAATAGAAAGGTTTAGAACATCCCCACCCAATATGAGTTGTCTTTTCATTAATTTTTTTTTCGTGTTTTGTCACCCCCATCTCACTGGTTAGGTTTAATATTGGCTACGTAATGGTTCGTGTGAGGAAGAGGGCGGCGCAAAGGGCGAAGTATGATCTTTTTTCACAAGATGGCTTTTTTTTCCTAATGCGCCATGGTGGAACGTTACAGAAGGTACGGGTTGAAAATGTAGTGGGGATGGGAGGGGCAACGGTCCGCTGGATTATGCGATCGTCTGCGCCACCTCAGCGAGACAATGGTGAAATCAATGCAAAACCGGGAATACTTGAGCCAGTAGAAGTATGTTATGTGGAAGGTAAAACAGTTCACATGATGTGTATGGAAATTTGGAATGTGGAGCTCTGACCCATTGTAGAGAGAACGCTGCGCTACCGACTGCTTCCTCTCCCACGCCACCCTCTCCTTCCCCAAACTACACTAGCACCAGCTACAGTAGCAAGCAGTCCTACGCGTTTCCCAGGAATCACGCTTTGGGCAAACCATTAAGGTACAAGGTGCCTTTAGAACCGCGTCCGATGTTCTGCCCTCATCTAAGCTGTCATGCCAAAATAACTTCATCACCCCTGTAATATCATGCACGCCCTAACATTTATCACTCGGCAAGTGGCTTACTCACGCCGCAGTCGTCCACTTGCGATCTGATCCCTCTTGCTGAACCACACTGATTCCCGGCATGATGAGTGGCTTACCCTCGCCCTCTCTTTGAATTTGCCACACTCGTCACTAGCGCAGGAATCTCCATCCTACTTACAATGCTATCGCAAAAAACTCTTCTAAAATCGCGAAAATGCGCCCGCAAAAACGCGCAGAAATGCTACCCTTTTCGTGGAAGGTTTCCCATCCACTGCAATCTTCTTTCATTGTATAGGGAACACTTTTCACTTCTGTGTGGGTTAACTTTAAAGATATCATCGAAGGTACTGGGGGTAAGAGCCAGTCGTCATCAATGAAGAACATATCAGAAGAGGGGTACAAGGCCACGTTGTGCGACGCTTGCAAAACTGCGCTTTTCAGAAAGAGAGGGTGTAAATGACACTCATGTCAGTGTTCATTAGAATCGGCTTGTTTGAAGGTATGTAGAATTGGTTTGATTTGGAAGCCATGAATGTCACCTTAAGCAGCATTGAGACTTCCGGGTAAGCTTTCTCCGGGCAAAACGCATAGCCCCATCGATACTCACCAGCTTTAGAGCTGCTTTCAGCTTTTTGCTATTTTCATTAATTTTTAATTTCATTTTCATTATTGGTCGATTGTAATGGCTTTGACCATAAACCACACTACAAATCAGGCGAGAATACACTAACTGGCTGCAGTACTAGATTGGATTTGGGGTTTCGTTTTCAGAAGAGCGAGTGGATGTTTCCATCTCATCGTCAGATTCTAGATCGACGGACTTCAACGAACACCCAAGTATCGATTTGGGCTCCTTTTGATGATGAAATGCAATGGCAAGTCTTCCAATTGTGATTTGAGATTCTGCAATTCTGATCTACATGGAGACAGGGTACTATTTTGGCTGAGGTGCTTATACTTTCAACGCGCCGTAGGACTGTTCGTTTTGGCTGAACTGGAGAGTCAGTCAAAGAAAAGAAGATGAAGGTGGAATTTCACTTTAAAGGAAGCGATTATGACAAAGAGGGACAAACATCGGAGTAGCATGTGCACCACACGAATCGTTACTTGGTTTGTCAGGGAAGCGAGATGTGACGTTTTTCACAAGGAAAGGTGCGCTGGTTACTACTGAGCAGGACTTCGAAAGCGCTCCGCCCCCAAAAGGATCCGCCCGTAAGTTTACTTGTTGATTTGGACAAGCAGACCAGCAGCAGCACAAATGGAGCATCTCGACTGAAGCGTAGTTTGGCATGGTGCCATTGAAAGCGTTGCGGTTAGTTCGTTCATACGTTCAATTTCTGAGCTGTTACCTGTTCATAAGGTAGAACCAATGGGCAAAAAAGGGGGGGGGTCCCCGTTTTGTGTTTTCTTGACGGATTTTTCTGCTTTCACTGCTGGGATACCACTGAGCACCACCACTCACACTAAACCCTTCTTGAATTTATCGAAACCGCTGCCTTTAACCTATCCTGCTGAGCTGGAATGGCGCAGCTCATACGACAAGTATTCAGTGGTTAGTCGACTCTGAGATGCTCCGAGATCGCCGAGAGAGGAGACGCACGAACGATGCGTATTTAATCCTCCTTGCCAATTCCCGATTTCCCTGATCGATACCTATTTAATCCTTTCGCTTTCCTTTTCCATTTTTTCATGACTAATTAATGATCGCCCTATCGCAATATCTCGGAGAAGTTATCGCGAGAGAGAAAAATCGTAGTTTCTATGCGATGAAAGAGATGAGAGGGGAGGGGGAGATTTTCAGGCGTGATTTCACCCACGCTTATACGAAGAGAAGTTTGTGATTCTCATGATTGTTGACCATGAGAATGATCATGGGCGATGCAACAAGCCCCGAAGTCTTCGGGGATATCCCCGAAGTCGTATGCAACAAGCCCCGAAGGTTTTCGGGGATATATCCCCGAAGATCGTATGCAACAAGCCCCGACGATCGTCGGGGACATATCCCCGAAGTCGTATGCAACAAGCCCCGACGATCGTCGGGGACATATCCCCGACGACCTTCGGGGCTTGTTGCATAGGGTCGTCGGGGAGGATTCGTCGGGGATGAATCCCCCTAGTCTCGACTAGGGGATTCATCCCCGACGGCCTCCAAACGTACGTGTTACTTGAGCTAACTCAGTGGTCAGTCAGTTGGACTGTCGACGCGTAAGGCTGCTTTCATAGTCTGCGATCCGTGCCGTCCGCGCCGTCCGTGCGGACCGCTCGGACAGGGTGAAAAACGTCAACACGCGCTCTGGCGCACAATTGCGTGCTTAGCACGCAGTCGGCGCCTCCCTCGATCGATACCTCGATTTCGGTGCATTTCGTGCTTTTTTGGTGCTAACTTAGTTGGGGGGGCCGCGCGGCGCGGCAGTCTGCTCACCTGGGCTCTCTCGAGCGAGACAGTGTAAACTCGAACATTCCAGCTTTTCACGCATGTCAAGTGACTGCCCCACCCCCACCCCCTAGACTGCCTACACTCCCCCTGGCCCACGGATTTCCGAACATGCCAGGCGAGCAGACTGCCGCGCCGCCGCGTGCCCCCCCCCAACTAAGTTAGCACCGCTCAATGTTTGTGAATATGTGGTGCGTTCATTCATGTTTTTTAGTTGAGACTTCTTCATTCTTGCCTTAGTCGATATGTTTCGGTAAGTCGGTAAGTTAATCAGTGCGCTTTGCTGATTGTTCAAATGAACTATCTTTCTAGAGCTCGCTTTTTCGCTGATAACGTCTGCGCGTGCCGCAGGGTAAGGGAACTGAGTGATTTCTCATCAATATCGCATCACATATTCACAAACATTGAAAAATGCACCGAAATCGAGTTATCGATCGAGGGAGGCGCCAAGTGCGTGCTAAGTACGCAATTGTGCGCCAGAGCGCATGTTGACGTTTTTCACCCTGTCCGAGCGGTCCGCACGGACGGCGCGGACGGCGCGGACGGCACGGATCGCAGACTATGAAAGCAGCCTTACGCGTCGACAGTCCAACTGACTGACCACTGAGTTAGCTCAAGTAACACGTACGTTTGGAGGCCGTCGGGGATGAATCCCCCTAGTCGAGACTAGGGGGATTCATCCCCGACGAATCCTCCCCGACGACCCTATGCAACAAGCCCCGAAGGTCGTCGGGGATATGTCCCCGACGATCGTCGGGGCTTGTTGCATACGACTTCGGGGATATGTCCCCGACGATCGTCGGGGCTTGTTGCATACGACTTCGGGGATATGTCCCCGACGATCGTCGGGGCTTGTTGCATACGACTTCGGGGATATGTCCCCGACGATCGTCGGGGCTTGTTGCATACGACTTCGGGGATATGTCCCCGACGATCGTCGGGGCTTGTTGCATACGACTTCGGGATAATATTGCTTGCTATTACTATTGGTTTGCATCTGTTTTTTTTTTCTGGGAATCTATCGAAATTAGGCTTCATTGTTAGTGAGCCTGATCAAGTGAAGTTCTCTGAATTTGAAAAAATACACTGATTTGGTACAACTGAATTACCACCGCTTTACTGAAGACATGCTACTGGGTTGGGGTCCTTCTTAAATTCCAGTGCCTTTGACGGTCCTCATTTTAGAACCATTCGCTTCATTCGCTCACCACTGACTTGCGAACGTAGTTTTGGTTGCTAGGATCGGGTTGCTCAACTTTGCAAGTTTCTATTCTGAACATGTTTTCGATGTGAAGCAGCCAAGTTTTGACGCTCATTCTATCCATGGTGTAGTGGACTCTCCCGCTATCTTTCGCAGTCATTATCTTATTGCTTGTCTTGGTTTGAGAAAGAGAAAAGAAGAAAATTGTAATGACTTTGATTGATGGTTTCGGCTTGCTTCTACAAAGTAGTCCATCCTCGTGTTTTTTAACACTCGCGGAGGTGCATTGATCATTGAGAACCTGGCCTCTTTCATCAGCTTCTTCGACGTGTTGTGACTAGAGGCAATCTCTGCTCAACTTTCAGTCAGCAGATTTGCGGTTCAGCATGTATACTTTCCTATCTGCAAATAGTCATGCATATGAAAATGACAGGCATCTATTTCTTCTCCAAGTGTCGTCTTTATAATGGCTGTGAAGGAACTTTTCGCATTTCAGTTTCGCTTTCACTGGGTGTTTCAGGTGTCTCACGAAGGCAAATCAAACGAGCGACTGGCAAGCATTAGAGGGGAATGCGATTTGAGGACATTTTAACTCCTCGGGTGCGTTGACCTTTACATTAATTACATTTTAATATGAATTGAACCGACCTTTCAAAGCTAAAACTCAAGCTGAGCTGACTCGGCTTCATGTGTTGGTATCTCAAAAATGTATCGTGGTGGTTCTAATTTGTGCTGTAATAGTGCGAGAATGGGAAGCTCAAGCTTTCTTATTGTGAGTCATCAAAGCAACAACCCAGATGGATTCGCACGATTGCTATATTCAGTGAAAAGATGCATGGGCCCTAGTTGAGCGAATACGACGTGTTGCTGGAGCAAAAATGCTCTCGAAAATACGCTATTATGCTTCTAAACAGATGTCGAGTCTTCCGTGACTTTTTTCACACCTACGTGCGCGAGTAGGTGGTGCTCCCGCTACTGCGGGGGACTGCGTTGAGGCCACGTTCAAGAGATCGCGCGAACTGTGCGGGAGCACTTCCGACTTGTTCGCGCTTGCCACGGCCACGCGTTCAATGTTAAAGGTCATCTAGCTGATGTCAAGTGTGCGGCGCACCTAAAAACGAGATCGACTAAAGCTCAGTGCTTTTGTCTTCATTATAAAAACTTAGGACCATTGTGCGTTTTCCAGAGGGGTATCGCGACAGAAATGTCCATCTTAGTCGGATGTTGCGTTTTCTGCGTACCACTCTCGTGTGGCAACGAAAACGTAAGTATTATAGGTGTAAGGGTGTATGCTAGCGCAGCCATAATGTCGTCGGGTTGGGAGAGACGGGTTGCTTTATAAGATTCGCCATCTTTCCGCGTTTCTACCTCTTAGACAATTGGAGCAACCCGACATCGGAACGCAGAGCATTGGGCTCCATCCCCTAGCTGGCTACTGCTGCATGCGGCCGCTATGGAAAGGATAGTACGAATTTACGTTCAAGTACTTGTTAACCATGAAGTTAGAAAGGACAGATCTCCGAGATCATAGCGCTCCATTCTTTCTGCAGGAGGCTTTTTCTGAAAAAGTTCGAGAAAGTATGAATTCTTCCATGTCCAAAAAATTTCCTGTTGGTTTTTCTTAGTTATCATTGTGTGACATAAATTTATAAATTTTTTACAAATCATAATTCAAGATTACTTCAAGTACTGTTTAAGTTTTGTCATCTGTCTCCTTTTAAGGAAGTGATTGTTGTTTGAGAGTGGCTGCGATTTTCATCTTGCACCCGGACATAACCGCTTCAGTTATGCTTCTAGATACAACAGTGCGCGCAATTTTTAAGCGCTCTCCGCAAGGAAGCATTGTACATGGCGAATAAGAGACGTATCTGGGAATTTCCCCACGCCATGCTTGCTTCTGCTCTCGCTACTTCTTCTTTGCAGCACCATTTATCACAACGTACTCTCCTATTTCGTTTACATCAAGCACCGTCACCGCTGCCTTTGTTTTGTTTCACGAGAACGCTCATCTCCTCCAACTTTCTTTTTTGTTTTTTGGTGGCGCTCATGCCGAGCAGATTGGATTGCTCTTTAAGCAGCACATAAAATGCTATGGCTGCCTCGCTGTTTGTTTATGTATACGGAATTTGAAATTACTCTGTGAATAGGTTGGAGAAGCTGCTTCAAGTTCAGGAACTGAGGAACATACGAGATGTAGGGGATACGTCCACTATTGAGAGGAGCATCTACTGAAATTGATGGTTGTGAATAAAACT